TTCATCACCATCATAATAATTTTCAGCTTTTCAACCAATTATTTTCAATTATGGTGTAGCCTCCCTCGTATATTTATATAGTTTCTTTGTAGTTAGGTCCATTGATTGTTGTCTATTGTTGGCTATGCGGGCACAAGTTATCAATGCTAATTTCCTACTATCATGGCTCCATCTCAGGTTTGGTCTTCTTCTAGGTCTCTTAGTTTCTCGTGGGTACCATGCTGTAATATTTGTGGTCCATTTGTCCGTCCTTCTTGCCAGGTGTCCTGCCCATTGTCACTTGAGGTATTTGATTCTGTGGATGACATCTGTTACCTGTGTCTTTTGTCGTATCTGCTCTATTCTTTTACGATCTTTTTGGGTTATCCCAGCATATTTCATTCCATTGAACGTTGTCCAACTTACAATTTCCTTATAATGCTCGTTTTAAGTGACTAAAGGTTTCGCATGCATATGTCATGACTGATAATACACATTGGTCGATTTTTTCTTCGTTAGATAATGTGGCATTCTAGATTCGAATATGATTGAGTTTCTTTAGTATTCAACAGTTAGTTTAATTTGCAGTAACTTATTTTGAGACCTCAAAATTTACAAGGTAATTCAGTCACTGGATGACTGCTTTAAGGTTGATTCTCACTATACCTTCCATATCAGCTCCCTTCCGTTTCCCTTCCGTTTACATAAAATATTATATCATGTAAATAAATAGGAAAATGCACACTATCCGTTCCGTTTCCCTTCCGTTCCACATCCTTTCCTTCCATACATTTTTTTAGCGGACGGACTGAAGCGTATCGGAAACAGCGTTGTCAAATTCTTACATTTGTACTAGCTCTGTTAAAATTTTGCTGATATTTATTTATACTTTCACCTCTTAATTAAATCTATTACCTTTTTCAAAAGATACACATTTTTAAAATAAAACTTTCGTAATGATATAAATTGTACAATAAAAAGTATGGAACTGATACGGAACGGATGCTTACGTATAGCGTCAATACAATAAAAATACGGAACGAATATGGAATGGATATGGAATGGAAACGGAAGGTATAGTGAGAATCAACCTTTAAGTTGCAATAGGATTTGAGTGGATGGAATGAATGGTGTAGGCTGAATGGGATGTCATTAAATATATCAAAGTGTAAAGTAATGCAGTTCTGCAGAAAGAAAAATGTTGTATTTTATAATAATAAAGATTCAAGATGATATTTTAGATAAAACTGATGTGATGAAAGATCTAGGTGTATACTTTGTTAAAGATCTGAATTTTAATTATCATATTAACTTGACAAATGAACACATGACAAACAAAGCGTTAAAGATGCTGGGTTAAGAGAACTTTACTGACGTATCAAAACTTTATATATTGCCTATGTGAGATCGATACTAGAATATGCTTGCCCAGTCTGGGGTCCGTATTATAAGACCTATGTTACTTACTTACTTACTGCCATGACTCGCTGACGAGTATTTAACACGCATCAGAAGATGGTTACGCAAGGTGTTTCCTGTCATGAGCTTTTCTGTGACTGAAAAGCCCGATACGTGATGTTATTTACCTACCGCACTCCGGATATTCAAAAATCTCATTACTTTGTTGCCTCTTTACTTTTTGGTTGTCGTTATTAACTCAATTTACAATTCTCCTCCATTGCGTTCTATTGTGCGCTGCTTCCTCCCACTTATGCTGCATAAGTATGCAAATAAGTATTCCTTTTAAGTTTTCATGAAAAACATTCTTGTATCTTTTGAGTTGTCCACCCGGTTTCCTCTTACCCTCTACAAGTTCACCGTAAAGAAGAAATTTCGGTAGGCGGTTTTCTTGCATCCTTCATACGTGGCCAGCCCATCTTAAGCGAGATTTAGTAATCATGACTTCAGCGCTTTCGCAGCTTGCTTTTTGAAGGACTGATGCGTTTGAGACATGGTGGTACCATTTGATTCTTAACAGTTGTCTAAGGTGTCTCTGTTGCAACTTGTTTAAGGCGCTCGTGTGCCGGCGGTACGGCACCCAGGTTTCGCTTCCGTATAACATGGTAGGGATTATTACTGCTCGATACACTGCAAATTTCGTTTTTGTGCTCAGGTCATGATTGTAGAAAACCCTGTCTTTTAATTTCCAGAATGCTCTTGAGGCGCTGCTGATTCTGTGCTGAATTTTAGAGTCGATATTTGCCTTTTCCGAAATCAAACTGCCGAGGTAATTAAATTCCGATACATATTCCAATAGTTCTTCTCCGATTTTTATAGCGCTGTTATGATTTTCCGGGGGAGTGCACACGATTTTAGTTTTATCGATGTTCAGTTTAAGGCCCAAAGTCTCGTATGCCCAGGTATATGTGTTCAGCATTTACAATTGTTGTTTGAAAATATGAACTAAAGTTATATTTTTTCAAATAGAACACCCTGTATGTTTATAAATCATATGATTCGCCTTGCTATGAGCTTCTCAAATATATATATATATATATATATATATATATATATATATATATATATATATATATATATATATATATATATATCACTCTATATATATTTTCACTATTTACTGCAATATTTAAAATATATAATTTTTTTATTAGTAGGCCGTAATAAATAACAAAAAATCAAAATGGTATTTACTAATATAGTCATACACACATTAAAATTTTATTTGGAATTGATATATTTTACGTTTGAACTGTTGCCACTGAATGTCTGAATATATTTTTCTTTTTTTTATAATGAGATGGTTTTGAAAATATCTAAAAGCTTGCATTATTAAAGAATTTTCCAGGTGTTCGACATTGTATTAGTTGCCACGATATATTTCATATTTCAAAAATCCCCAAAATCAGAAATCGAGAACGGACAAATCCGGGAATCAGGGAGTCCGTCATAATATGGGTCCATTGGTTCCAATTCATTGATTTGAGAAATAACATTTTAACAAAATTCTAATATTTTCGTTGTAAGTTAAGTTGGGAGGGGGGGAGGGGCACATCTTGCTGAAAGCATATTTCACGTAAACTAGCTAAAGGAATATTTAAAAGTTCCGATACGATAGTTTCTAAGATTTACAAATAGAGGTAGAGAGTTAAGTTTTCCAAATATATAAAAAATTATCAGTGGCTCTCAAAATAAAACAAGAGACAGATAGCAGTATACTTTTAATAATTCTTTTCCTTTAATTATCAATTATGGCCTACTGCGATAAATACGATCTCTTTTAATTATATTTAAATATATTTTTTAAATATTGCAGTAAATAGTGAAAATAATTATATACAGGGTCCGGCAATAGTGCGTCGGGCATCTGTAGCTCCTAGAATCAAAAACTTGAGAATTTTGTTTAAGTGCAAACCTAAAGTATGTACCAGGATGTATTTCAGGAAAATATGTTAACTTCTATAGGGAGGCACAAAAAAGTGTGAGTGGACCTGGATAATTTTTTTTAAATGGGACACCCTATATATTATTGCATTTTTGGCTTCCTTTCAGATCACTTTATTTAACCCTAAGATATGAATGAATATATTTCGATTAGTTTCAAATATATTAAATAATAAATCAAAAATATATATTTTTCAGCCCTTCTTAAAAAAATTATTAAAAATACAGAAACTGTTCCGAAATCAAAAGTATATTAGGTATTTTCTTTAGCTGGTTTGTTCTTACTTTGCTATAAATATGGTAATCGTAAATCATACAGAATGTTCAATATTCTACGCCAAACTTTCTAAAATATAAAATATTTTTTCTATGTTTTTTTTTTAAATGAAACACCCTGTATATTATTTTTTTATTAGATCGAGAGTTAAAAAATGAACATTTTTTGTATTTAAAGTATTTCAAAATTTTTAACGGTTTTGCAGATACACGCGGTATTATTTCATATGGCGCTTTCAATGGTAAAATACGAGAGAAAAATCATTGGGTGGCTTTGATAAAAATTTACTGCGGAAAATGCCATATGAAATATAAAACAAAGTAAGTACAGACCATCTAAAGTAAATACCTAAAATAGTTTTGATTTCAGAACAGTTCTTGTATTTTTAATAATTTTTTTAAGAGGGGCTGAAAAATATATATTTTGTATTTATTTTTTAATATCTCTGAAACTATCGAAATTTATTTATTCATATCTTAGGGTTATGTAAAGTGATCTGAAAGAAAGCCAAAAGTGCAATAATATACAGGGTGTTCCATTTAAAAAAAATCATCCAGGTCCACTCACACTTTTTTGAGCCACCCTATAGAAGTTAAAATATTTTCCTGAAATACATCATGATACATACTTTAAGTTTGCACATAAACAAAATTATCAAGTTTTTTATTCTAGGAGCTACAGATGCCCGACGCACTATTGCCGGACCCTGTAGAGTGATATCTATTTTTGAAAAGCTTATGGCAAGCCAGATCCTATAATTTCTAAATATACAGGGTTTTCCATTTAAGAAAACATAACTTTAGTTCATATCTTTAAAAATATTCTTTTCGTAGAATAACAGACTACGCCACTGTATTCTACGTAAAAAGTTCTACAATAAACAGTTTTCACCGTCTCGATACCTTTAGGAATAACAGAGATACAGGGAGTGTCCGAAATTGCAAAATTTTCAAAAAGACCCTGTAGCTCAGAAACGAAGAGGGCTATGAAAATTTTGTTTACGGCATCTTCCTTTAGACAAAAAAGTGGCACAGGTTTGTACAAACCGCACCCTTCTATCTTCACGAATAACGGAGATACTGTATGATTTCAACTAAAATGGGACCACCCTGTACATTTAAATGGCTGGTCCGTAAATATATTATTTTTTTTTTATTTTATAAAAACAATCCAAATATACATATTTTAGCAGAATACCATAAAACCACCTCTCAAACCACACATCAACCCCTTCAATTGCACCACCTTCGTCTTGCGCACACCTTTTTTCTCTTCGCCGCCGCGAGTTTTGTCCGCGGGACGCGTCGCGACGCCGACGATCCAGTTGTTGCTTTCCCGTTGAGATGCGCGCACCAGCACCCGCAGCAGCACCAGCAACAACCACGACGACGACGACGACGATGGTAAAAGGAGGCCACGCGACATCGTAAGCTCGCGCTCGGATCGGACTACGACCACTTGTTACCGCGCCAGTTTCGCCTCGTTTTATTTTATTTCTCCGGCTACTGATCGCGGTTTGAAGCGGGAGTTGAGGGCGCAGAGCTATGGAATGGATCACGTCGATTGATAAAAGGTAAAAAAAAAAAATAAAAAAAATATTTTAAAAGTTTAAAAAAAAGTTAATATACATATATTATATACACATATCGTCGGCTTTATGACGAATAGGCGTATCTCGATTTTTGCTACTTTTCAGGAGAGCAATTTAAAGAAAATCACTTACTTTATTTGGCCAATAAATGTTAAGTCTCTAATTTTTTAATAGTGTTTTTGTATTAACACTCAAACGGAGACATTGAGGAAACGTTCTGAAGATAAATTGTGCGTAAATTCTAATAAATAATTTCTTTTTAGTTGTTTAATAGAGATAGGCCTTTTTGTTATAATAATAATAAATTTATTTCCGAACGAATAGTATACAAACGCCCATGTAAAATAAATTTAAAAATGGTGGTAAAATGTTCTTAATAAGGAAAAAAAAATACAATATTCACATTATGGAATACATACAAGAAAATACAATACATACATACAGAAGAATCTGAAAATCACCAAAGAATCAGAAACAAATTTTTAAATACTTTTATTCACGTTGGATTAGATCAACTGAAAACAAAGACAATTTTCATTCCAGAAGCAAAGACAATAATCAATTAAAATACACTTATCTAGCTTATTTTAATAATATTGTTTTTTATACAAAAATACATTTTTTTAACTAATATATTTTTAGTAAATATTCAGTTAATTGAGGGCATTAATACAAGGCATTTAAACTCACGGTGCAGTTAATAAAAACGAAACTAAACAAAAACAAAACATATTTCTTCATTCGTGCCTTTTTGATAGAAATAACTGTGGACTAACAGTTTCTGTTTTCCCTGTTCAATGATAACAAATTCGACTTCCATTCTACGTGTTTATGCAGGATGATGATAGGCAGAATAAATAAAATTTTCCAAAAATTGACAGGGATGACAATGCTAATGGCCTGACAATGATAATGAGATAAAAATTATAGTATTTTTCGCGCAAGTTTCTGGTTGGCTAAAATGTTCTGAGGGAAATTATAATTTTGGAAATTTTTCCATTAGGGCAATTTTCGTTTTGTTGTTTTGCTTTCGATCAATTTTTCTTCGGCCATTTATTCTCGGACAATCTTTTGCATACCCGATACAGCTATGTGCAGAGTCTAGCTCATTCTAACAATGGCTTTTGGCAAAAAACAGACTCAAAATCACACTGTAAAAGAGAGCTGCTGCCATGATAGAAGTTTTATTTTGTCCCAAGCAACCATCAGAAAATAATTAGGTAGAATGGTGTGATTTTCTCTCGCATGCATTTTCATAACTTAAAACAAAAGGACCTATCTCAAATTCCATCTTTCTTGTAGTATAACAATTGGTATAACAATTGATATAACAAAGAGCCCTATCTCAACACACGTCTCTTCGTCATAACGAAGAATTGTAGTATTTGAGATGGGGCAAATTTTTAAACGAATATAAAATGAAAAAGGTACAATACTGAGATGCGCAAATTCGCTATGTTAAAATATGCCCCATTGGGCATGTCATGACGTTGATATCTGAAAATCGTCAAAAATCGAGATACGCCTTTTCGTCATAAAGCCGACGATATTATATAGGGTGGGTCAAATTCGACGCTTTTAAAGGGTTTTTAATAAAAACATTTCCAAAGCACCTTTTTACGTAGAATTTAATCGTTTAAGTATAATTTTTTTAAAATTATTAAGTTTAGAATTATCAACAGAAAAACTGATTTTTTATATGGGACACGCTGTATATTTTTAATTCATTCAAAATAATTTAAAATTACCTTTGCAAAAATATAGCATACTTGATATTTTGCTCGATTCTTCTTCGAGATATAAAGTTTATAAAAATTCGCCCACATTGAATAAGTATAGGCTTTGAACGAAGGCTTGCTCTATATCTTTAGTTTAAAATTGGAGGAAAACTATTTTTTGGAAATATGTAGGTCGATTTGTGCCTGGAAACGTTCTATCCTTTTTTAAACTTTCTATAACTAGTGATATATGTACAGGGTGTTTCAAAACAAATGCGAAAAACTTCAGGGGGTGATTCCTTGTTCAAAATAAAGGGTAGTTTGCTTTATAAACGTTGGGTCAAAAGTCAACCATTAGGGAGATATCGCGGTACAAAGATGGCGGAAAAATAGTGTTTTTATTTTTTATCTTGAAAACGAAAAGAGATAGACTAATGAAATTTTATGGAAGCATTACTGTTATGAAAACACACTTTCTGGTAATTTTTCACTTTTTAAGATGAGTGGAAGGGGTTGAAATAAACTACCCCTATCATTCTTGTTAACGAAATTTAAAGAAAAATCTTATCAAACACATGCAAAAAAATTAATTTGGATAGTTTAGTTTGTTTAGAAACTTTTTTATCTCTCGTATTTTTTTTATAAAACTCACCGATTTGAAATTAAAAAATAAAATGTAAAGCATTACATGTCAGGACAAAAAACATTTTTAGATAAAGAATCTAGTGGGCAGCTGTAATTTTTTTAGGAAAAAATCTAGTCGGCCGCTGTCACTTTTTAGAACGTTTCTAATATTGTTTTATTTGACATTACCCTACTGCAATACGTTATTATCTAGATTATTATTATTATCATTATTATCACTAGATTCTTAATCTAAAAATATTTTTAGTCCTGACATGTAATGCTTTACATTTTATTTTTTAATTTCAAATCGGTGAGTTTTATAAAAAAAAAATACAAGAGATAAAAAAGTTTCTAAACAAACTAAACTATCCAAATTAATTTTTTTGCATGTGTTTGATAAGATTTTTCTTTAAATTTCGTTAACAAGAATGATAGGGATAGTTTATTTCAACCCCTTCCACTCATTTTAAAAAAGTGAAAAAATTACCAAAAAGTGTGTTTTCATAACAGTAATGCTTCCATAAAATTTCATTAGTCTATCTCTTTTCGTTTTCAAGATAAAAAATAAGAACATTATTTTTCCGCCACCTTTGTACCGCGATATCTCCCTAATGGTTGACTTTTGACCCAACGTTTATGAAGCAAACTACCCTTTATTTTGAACAAGGAATCACCCCCTGAAGTTTTTCTCGCATTTGTTTTGAAACACCTGTATATATATATATATATATATATATATATATATATATATATATATATATATATATATATATATATATATATATATATATATATATATTATATATATCATATAAAACTATTTACATATTAGCATTTATTTTTAAGAAATAAAATACGACTCTATAAGCAAGTATCAGCTTCTCAAGTAAGGCCATCTCACACTTATCCACTCAAGAACGCGGAGCAAGATCTTTATCTACCTACCCCACGCTCAGAGTTAGTTAAAAGTTCAATATTATACAACTCGAAATAAATGCACAATCACCTGCCATTTGAAATCAAATCCATAACATCATTTTCTTCATTTCGCAAAGCATTGAAATCTTATTTACTAGACAAGGCTTTCTACGCCGTAAATTACTTATATTTTGATAATCGAATTTGATCTTGTAAACACTGGTCTAATGTTTGCTACTACTATATTTACCAATGACATCGAAATAAATTTATTTAGAGGTCATTGATATTTACTATAAACTTACTAAATATTTTTGAATCTCATTTTCATTTTTTTTATTCTTTGACAGTGTAAACATTTTTAAATGTTTATTTCATACAATAAGACTGACAATGTAATTTGAATAATGTTTTGTATTTTCTTTTGTTTGTTTGTTTATTTACTTTGTTTGTTTACTTTACCTTTGTCTACAAATTGTAAAATTTTTTGACAATACAGGCATTTATTTAAGTTATAAATATTGGGTATGGAATCTCTATGGATTAATAGTTTTTCTATAAAAAAAAACATAAATTTTGAGACCATTTAATCTCAGCAGATTTCTGTAATGAAACATCCACTAACATATCTGTTTATTCAAAACTCCTATTTGCTGTCCTCCATTCGCGAACTTCGAGTTCCGGGCTTTACGCCCTGGGGCTACTCGAGAACGGTTCTGAAAGGAGCGGTGCGCGATAGCCTGGTGCCTCCATATAGCGCGGAACAGTTCTGGAGCTTTATGACTCAATTGAATGGAGTGAGAGTATCGCGTTCTTGAACAGTTCAGAGCTGCTCAACTGCGTGAAAGGAGGACAGCAATTGCGTAGGCAATATTTCATTTCTTATAGTATTAATACTAGAAATCAAAGAATTTTCTGAAAAAACACCTACGAAAAGTTTTCCTCTGGTGTTCCTTTTTGCGAGGGTTTTCCGCAAACACTCGGATGGGTACTTTAAAACCAGAAAAACTCGAACAAAAAAAATATATCTATAGACAGAGAGTCGCGTCGGTGTGGTGTGCCCCTAAAGGAAAGAAAGACACCATTATGTAGATTCGATAAAACGTTTTTCAAATGTAAATTTATACAAATGGGGCAAATTATTTAAATTCGTCTTTTTCCGAAAGTGGATGGATCAGTATTAAAATCTATCGGTAGGGAAAAAGTAAATTTTATTGAAATGGGGAAAATTTCTTTAAATATTTTAGCTGTGTTCTCGTGCGGTTAATTTACAAGTTTAGATCATATTTCATCTCTTTCATTTCCTCTTCTTCTTAATGATGAAAAATGCCTCGGAATTAATGTAAGAAATTAAAAATTGTTATTTGAATATTGGAGCATCGAATATCTTTCGAATTTAAAATACAACTTTTATTTATGGAATAAATTTTTTAAAGTGATTTTTTAACATTACTTTATTTTTGGAATATGAAATTTTCATGTACAGGATGGTCCGAACTGTATTCCCGAAACTTCGGCAGTATATTTTTTCTGATAAAAATAAGTAAAATTGTTGTTAACTAAACTTCAATTTTTCCAAATAATTTCTGAAGTACCTAACATCAATATTTGGACAAAAATTGGTGTCTGGGAGTTTTTTGACATGATAAATCGATTTTGATGTCAATATGACTCCTATTTGTAGCGGGCGCCACCTACATGTGTTTTAACTGTTTTGAA